GTTTTGTATACCTGGAGAATTAGGGGTGACACAATCAACCCGCTACTGGTATACCTGGAGAATTAAGGGTGATACAGACAATTAGTGTTTGGTATTGTATTCTTTGAGAATTAGGTGCGAAACAGAGAATCAGTAACTGGTATACTTGAAGAATTAGTGGTGATATAGAGAACAAGTTTCACTGGAGAATTCGGTGTGGCACAGAGAATGAGTAACTGCTATTGTGTACCTGGTGAATTAGGGCTGAAACAGAGAATCAGTAACTGGTATTGTATGCCTGGTGAATTAGGGGTGAAATGGAGAATTAGTAACTGGTATTGTATGCCTGGTGAATTAGGGGTGAAATGGAGAATTAGTAACTGGTATTGTATGCCTGGTGAATTAGGGGTGAAATGGAGAATTAGTAACTGGTATACTTGAACAATTAGTGGTGATATAGAGAACCAGTTTACCTGTAGAATTAGGGGTGTCACAGAGAACCCTTTACTGGTATAACTGGAGAATTAAGGGTGATACAGACATTCATTGACTGATATTGTATTCTTGGAGAATTAGGTGTGACAGAGAGAATCAGTTACTGGTATTGTATACCTAGAGATTTAGGGGTGAAACAGAGAATCTGTAACTGGTATACATGAAGAATTAGTGGTGATATAGAGAATCAGTTTACCTGGTGAATTAGGTGTGACACAGAGAATCAGTTACGGGTATTGTATACCTCGAGAATTAGGGATGACACAAAGAACCCGTTACTTGTATACCTGGAGAATTAGGGGTGACACAAAGAATCAGGTACTATTATTGTATTCTTGGAGAATTAGGGGTGAAACAGAAAATCAGTAACTGGTATACGTGAAGAATGAGTGGTGATACAGAGAGCCAGTTTACCTGGAGAATTAGGGGTGACACAGAGAATCAGTTACTGATATTGCACACCTGGGGAATTATGGGTGACACAGAGAATCAGTTACCCGTAAAATAAGAAAAATATAGTTTTAAAAAGATAATTATTTATTACTGGTTGTAAATAAAATATAAGATAAATACGAGGAGGACGCGTTCAGGTTGATGCAATACAAAATATACAGATGGTAAAAGACCCCCCCCCCAACCACCACGAAAAAAATAAAAGCTCACATAAAAAAACAACAACTTCGACCATGATTTTGGAGGCTATTGGCTCTCCATAGGTTGGGCATGATTGACTCTCCATATTGGGCATGATTGACTCTCCATAGGTTGGGCATGATTGACTCTCCATAGGTTGGGCATGATTGACTCTCCATAGGTTGGGCATGATTGACTCTCCATAGGTTGGGCATGATTGACTCTCCATAGGTTGGGCATGATTGACTCTCCATAGGTTGGGCATGATTGACTCTCCATAGGTTGTACATGATTGACTCGCCATAGGATGTACATGATAAATCACACATAATTATTTAATGTTCTACTTGTTCAGGTTTTCCTCTATAACCGTTGTATATTTCTAACTGAAAATAAAAGAACTAGCAAACACTTTCACCACATATATCTATACGTATAATGAAATCTTCTGAATCAAAGCAAGTCATATTACTCTGTACGTTCACTGTTAATCTTATACTAGGCACAAAATTTGAAGGTCCACTGATGGGGATGACTTTTAAAATGTAAAAAATTGACGAATCCACGAACTAAGATTATACACTTTATTGTCATGTTTAAGTTTATTGTTTCAATACGGGATAGATTGACCACGTTGTTCTGATTATGCTACCCCGGTGTTCAATGTTTGGGAATGACGTAGTGGCAGGCCCACCATGTGAATTTGGGAGGCTCCCTGCCAGTTTTCGGTTTTTGGCCCACTTCATTGAAAATTAATAATTGTTCAAAGCTTCGATCATTTTAATGTAATCAAACTCATCACTTATTTAATGCTTGGTGGTTATGATTGATAATCCACAGACAGCTCTCACTTGATTCAGTGGCGTTGCTAGACATTGTGCTGCCCGGAGTGGTCTTTAAGTTTGCCACCCGCTCCCACCCCGAAAAAAACAAACAGTTCATATAAAAAAGACTTCGACCATGAGTTTGGGGCTATTGACCCTCTATATGCTGTACATAATAAATGACATACAGTCGAACCCACTTATCTCGACCTCGGTTAACTCGCCAACCCTGTTGTGTCGACGTTTTTGAATGGAACCGCCAAATAGAGACCGACCGAAAGTGATTTTCTGATTTCGGCCGAAACCGAAACTAGGGCCGAAAGTTAAAAAATGACTTTCAACCAAACATGTAGCTAGGCCGAAAGTTAAAATATGACTCTCGGCCGAACCGAAAGCTGAAAGAGACTTTCGGCCGAAACCGAAATATTTAGACATTTTGAAATTCGTTAACGCATATATTCTTAAATTGATCACTTTCAAAATCTTCTTCTGATGCCTTTTTACCCAGTGAATAGGGTATAGGCCATCCACAAGAATTCTCCATTCATCACGGTCCTGTGCTTTCCTTTCCAGTTGTTTCCAGGTGTATCCAATATTTTGTGTGTCTCGCGTCTCCATGTATTCTTTGGCCTTCCTCTCTTTCTTTTCCCCTGTGGATTCCATGTTAGGAATTCTTTGGGGGTGCTAGCTGGGGGTTTTTGGAGAGTATGTCATATCCATCTCCATCTTTTATTTAAGATGTCTTCGTCAAGGGCACCTGGTGAGTCCTTTCTAGTAGATAATTGTTGATTATAATATTTTGCCATTTGATTTAAGGATCTTTCTAAATCCATGTGTTTATGAAGGTCTGTACTTTCTGCGTAATACTCGCCGTTGTTTTCCAAGTTTCTGATTCATAGAGTAGGATTGTCTTTCAAAATAGGGCTAGTAAAAAAGACCTTTACTACTATAAAAAGTCTAAATTCACTCTACCTACAATAGCTTTTTCCTTCGCGTCAATAATTCATAAATATGTCCTTCTCCTGCCTACTGCTTGACACGTTTTAGCATTTAAAGCCTTCATGGAGAATGTTGGGATGGTTGTTCCTATACTAAGTGATCCCAAATGGCTCATGGACTTGGCTTTTCTTTTTGAAATTATACAGGAGCCGAATGTACTCAACAAGAAGTTACAAGACCAGGGGTAGTGTGTCAGTGTTGCCAATGACAATGTCAGGGCTTTCTGCACAAAACTTGAGTTATGGTTCTTAGAGAAACCTCTGCCATTTCCCAACATGAAAAATACTCATGAACTCGGGCACACCATTCAGTAGTAACTGAGTAGTAAGTATACTGATGCCATTGCAAAGCTACAGAAAGAATTTGATCACATTTTTAGACTTCAAAACATACACAGCAACTTTTCAGCTTTTTGCTGACCCTTTCGCCGGCTTTTGAAATTATATGGAAGGAAGTAGTGAGGCAGGCCAAAGCCCTACATGGGCTGTAGCGCCACAGGGATGGATGGATGGATGAAATTATATACAACAGAAACGTGCCTACTATAAACTGTAGTAACTGAAATGAAATGACAATATCGTTGTCAGCGCTATTAACTTGACACAGCAAGAAGCGTAGAGTGAGAGGCTTGCAAACAAAATAGAGAGGTCGAGTAACTGTAATTTATAGCGAACACTATTGTCACTTAATATAGGCTTTCACGAGTTCTACAGGTTGATTTTATATTTTAAAACCCAGAATCCGTATTTGAATAAACTGAACTGGCCAATCCGGAGCGAGAGAAAATAAAAACTCGCGAATCCGGAGCTGAAAATATTTAGCCTCACAAATCCGGAATTCCGGAAAAATGGCACCCCACATATGCCTTGTGTTGTTAGTTAACATGTATGTACATTTTTATCGCATGCTGTTCGCTACATCAAACAGATCGCGGTAACGCTGTTGTGGAAAAAAAACACTAAAACTCCAAAAACGTGCATGTACATTCTCATTTATAAACGCTCATTGTGTACATAAAGAAATTTCAAACGCATGTTAATATATTGCCGCCATATTGGTTTTCGTTTCTCTCGATCATCGGTTATCTCGGCGCTTTTTTGGCAAACCCCGAGGCGGTCGACATAATCGGGTTCTACCATGCCTTTCCCCTTGACGAATCCTAGACAGAATTTTTACTTAAGAAAAAAAAAATTCTTAAAATGTTTTGCGCAAAGAAAGTGTGTGCAGAAATTGTAGATGAGCACTCTTTGTGGTAAAAGGATTCTATTTCATTTTAGACGGCATTAGACTAAAAATTAGATATGAGTTCTCCTAATACATGAGGAACATTTGGCATCAACGGGAAAATTTTAAAAAAAACTTGCAAAAATTTACTTATAATAATATAAAGACCTTATCAATTCTTTTAATAAATTCTTTCATATAAAATTGTCTCTTGTAATATGTTATAGTTAATAAAATTAAATGCTTGTTTAAGAAGTTAAATTTAAAAAAAAATAAATTTGTCGATCCCCGCCTATTTGTACATCCGAGCATTAAAAAAGATCTTTATTTATTTTTTACCCTTTGTTTTTTCATTAGGTCTTTTAGGGAGGAACGGGACACGATTTTTTACTTTAAAACTTAATTTGGTGTAGTTGATAAAATCAGGTAATTTTTCTTAATGACAATATTTTATTTTGCAATTTAAAACCTCTATGATTTTCTATGGTGCATTCTGATCGTGTAAGTAAAATACTTTTCCCAAACATAGAAATAAAAACAATTGTTTTCTTAATTTAATTAAGCTAGCTAAATAATGATCCATATTTTTGGAGATTTAAATATTGCCTCGATCTCATGTCTCATTCAGCTCTCGGTTAATAACGTCATGCATTATTGACAAAGCTGTGGATAGCGTGTGACATTAAAGATTTATGGGTAATATATTTGTACGTACTTATATTACGCGTGATGTGTTTTATAATTAAGGATAATTAATTTTATATCAAAATTGCATATTTGTTTCGGTTGCTTACTACACCGGTAGCGGAAGCGTTGTTTAACAACAGTAATGAACTTCCTGTTTGGGTCCTTTCTCTTTTGATTTGAAAATGAAAGTCACTAGTGTAAATGAAGAAATCATTTTTTTTTAATTCAGTATGTATATTCAATTTTGAAAATACTTCTTTATTTTGAGAAACCACTTTTCAGTTGACATTGAAATTTATTAAACATTAAAATGGTTGTTTGTTAGGCTAAATAAAGTATAACTAATTAAATAAGGCAAGGCCAAAAAATTCACCAACTCCAACCAATCACAGAAATCTAGATTTTGTCATGTGTTGTGTTTAAAATTTAAGGTAATCTACCACTTAAGCGTCGGCCAAAAAAAAATCCAGTTGTTCCGGTTGGAAGGGCTATTGTAACAACTATTCTTACATTGGAGTCTGTTAATATTTTTGCTTCGGTATGGAGGCTATAATGCTATAAAGTATAAAGTTATATAGCACATTGCTAATAGTACTATACATTTAAATAATTAAATAATAAATAGGAAAAAAAAAGAGACTACTTTTATTTTTTTTTATCCAGATAACGCGGATGTCCACACACAGAATGTGGAAAACGTGAATGCTCAGAAAGCGTAAACTGAAAAGACAGTTTGGCACAAGAAGCGCCAGTGATCTTTCCCCTTCATATTTACGTGGATTCATGTACCACAACAGTTTTCGTGGAAATTTTATTTTTTGAAACTTCATTGTCAACTTGGGGGAGAACTAGACATTATCTTCTATTACAAAAAAATTGTTATAGTTTTTCTATTAAAAAAAACGAAGTGTCTACATGTCCGGCACGCCGGACAAATATCGTGGGAGATATACGTCCGGCTAGCATGTCAAGTGACTGCTGGACGTGAAGTGTCTACGTGTCCGGCGCGCTGGACAAATAGTGTGGGAAATATACATCCGGCGAGCATGTCACGTGACTGCCGGACGACTAGTAGGCGTTATTATTCCGAAGGAAGTGTCTACTAAGAAGATCTTGTGTAGTCATGTGGTAGAGTGGCCGCTTGATGATATTATATTTGTGGATCGATTCCCCGCATGGGAACCCTTTTTTTTCCCCATTTTAATTAATATTGTATATTATATTTATATTATCATGTTTATCAGCAACAGTAGTTTTATGAGAAGTTTTAAAATATTTTGTAGCAATTAAAACAATTTAAAATGTTTACTTTACAATTTAAAATCTTTTACTTTTATTGGTTGCCTACTCCATACTAAATACTGGCCCCTAATTATATCATGGGTTACTGGTGCCCAAACTTAAATAACAAACTAAACAAAAATGTTTACAAGCCACTTTCACTTCAGTTTTTTTCTATTATTTGCATGCAAGGTGTACATTACTTGGTAGAGAAATAGGTTTTAAAATTAACAATAGTTTTGAATCATTCGTGAGCACGTGACAAGGCTGATGGACAAAATATCTCTTGCCACTTTGTTACGGCGGTCATGTGACTTGGTCGCCGGACAAATAGTGCGGGAGATATACATCCGGCGTGCCGGACGTATAGACACTGCCTAAAAAAAGATTGTCTTTTATTATGGGAATGAATACGTACAACCAATGTCATTAAAAATAATATAAGAATAGTTGTTTAAATAGCCCTTCCAACCGGAAAAGCTGGATTTTTTCTTGGCCGACGCTCAAGTGGTAGATTACAAAAATTTAAATATTCTGTGTGCAGATATATTGGTATTCTTGCAGTTCAAGTGCGTATATTATTTCTGACCAACTTTCGTATTATCGCGTGTAATCTTACGTGTATTCTTTTTACAATTTAGTCCACACAGCATTAGTTAGCCCTGCCCTAACAATAAATTGTACAGCAATAACTTTTCGGTAAATTTGGAGAGATAGCACCGTGGTTTTTTTTGACGCCATCTTGGTTACCTCAAACTTTAAGTGTTCACGGGTCGAGGCAACCAAGATGGCGGCCGTGGAAAAATAAAATAAATCACGTTTGCTAAAATTAGGAAGAAAACGTTAAAAATTAATAAGAAATGTCCTAAATTGATCCCTAAACCTGACCTGAACCCTAAAACTAGCCCTAATACCACAAGTAAAAACACATGGAATTTACACACTGTGGGCCGCACAGTGACTGTGGGAAGAAAACTATGAAAAATGAACAAAAACAATAAAAATATTAAAAAAGGGCCAAAAATAATAATAAAATAAAAAAATAATGAAAACCCAACTTACAGTTTCATGAAATACACTTTTACACACTTTATTTCAGGTGCCGCCGAAAATAATATACACAAAATGAATAAATCACAAGACCTCACATGTACCCCAAATCTATCAAATATGGCGGAACAAATAAAATATGATAATAAGCCAACCGATGCAAAATTTTAAAATTATAATTAATCAACCAATAAAAATTTAATTAAAACGTGCCATCTGATATTAATGAAAATGTAACTCTATTAACAATAAAATAAGGGGAGTGAATCCATAACAAAATGTGCAAATGACGTCAGTGTGCTATCTCTCCAAATTAGCCAACTTTTCTTTTTATTTATTTTTTCAGCCCCCATTGGTTACATAGCTAATAGTGTAAACGATCTCTCCATTTTCTTTCTTTTTTTTTTTTTTTTAAATTCTTCCTACATGCCAGATTGCAATTGTTTAACTGAGAGCATATTCTCAAAAAACGAAAAAAGAAATTAGATTTATATTAAATTATACCAAAATTATTTATTGATGCTTAAATTTTCAAACTTAAATTTTTTTTTTTTTTTTTTTTTTAAATTCATCCTACATGCCAGATTGCAATTGTTCAACTGAGAGCATATTCTCAAAAAACGAAAAAAGAAATTAGATTTATATTAAATTATACCAAAATTATTTATTGATGCTTAAATTTTCAAACTTAAAGCATGTTCACGAAATAAATTTATATAAAATTGTCGTGTATATTGGCTAGTTTAAGGCAAAAATTAAAATTATGCGTTCATTAAACTTCAGTACCGGTTTTTGAATATGGATAATCAAGTGTATGATATTATGTGTACTACGTGTGATCTCGTTCCATTCACCCATGCCCATGCAGGAGCCTTTGATTGGAATTATATTTATACACCCCATAAGCCATAAAAGAAAAATAAGAATGTTGCGCCCCTGTAAAATAACGGAACATCTTAATAAAGTTCAACACCCCTCCTCTCCCGGTATTTCCACTTTTTGTGAACATGGCTACAATTTGAAAATTTCGTTTTGTTTAGCATACCAACTTATAGGTGATCAAATATCCGGCAGCTGGCAACAGGGTTAAAAAAAATAAAAACAAATGGAGGTTGGCGGATGTTCAAAGACGTTTTAGAAATAAAATAAAACAAAAATAAGCGATGTATAATTCAGTATTAGTTAACTATCACTGCCTGGATTTAATTTAATGAAGAATACACATAAGTTTACTTGCGATAATACGAAACTCAATCAGAAATAATATATGCACCTGAACTGCATGATTACAGATATATTTGCACAAGATTCCCAATCAATGGCAAACCCTCAGTTTCATAGCAAATCTGCTGACAACATGGTTATACCAATAACACACTGTTTGATCTTTATTTTCATCACACATCATTGTATCAGACTTAGGCACTTTGATATTACCCTGGAAAAGCATAAAAAAGGTTTCTTCTTCTTCTATATCTTAAGGGCCCACGATCAATTTATTGATCATTTTGGTTCCTATGCATGTAGATGGGATTTGCAATGTTTCTGTTCCTGGTGTTGATGAGGAAATTTCACAGATTTCCAGTACCAATTTGTGAGGGAATCATGCACTAGGGGTTTGAAGGCTTGAGGCAGTAGACACAAATGTGTCTAGTGTTGTCGCCTCAACTGTTCCTTTTGAAAGGTTCTCATGAGTTCATTATCAAAATGATGACATCCACTTTTTAATTTACAGAGAGTCTAGTTGTTAAGGATTTTTTTGCCAATTATTGTCCCAACGAGACCAGGCACAGTGTATCAATTTGATATTGCTAAAATAATTTATTTGTTAAATAATTTAACCAACATACAATATAAAATTCATCTCCAGTATTTTTTAAAAATTTCCTCTATATCCTTGAGATTCTTAAAATCAAACATTTTCCTACCACCCACCATGTTAGACTGCAGAAGTATAAGTATCATTATAATATTTTGTTTTGGCACAATGTATCAATATGATTTTTACTATTTTATATTAAGATAATGTATCAGTTTGTATACTAATATGAAAAAAGTAACTCACCAGAGCAAGTAAAATAATACACTTTTCAAACTTCAAAAAAGTAACTTGCAAAGATGTGGTGTATCAATTTGAACAAAGCAGCTAAATTTTAAGTATAGGCCTAGCCTCCACTACATCTTATTATTTGTGGGACCCACTATTTGTTATATGTAATGATATTTTAATGTATATTATGAATCTTAAGGCAAGATGTAAAAAAAAAAAATGTTAATAAATATTCACTTAACTTTGTTATTGAAATATCCTATATTTAATCACATATCACAATATTCCACAAGAGAATTAGTACATAATCCTCAGTATTCTTAAAGAAAAAACACACTTTCTGCCACAATGATCCAAGAATTAATTCAGATATTACAAAAGAACTATCATAAAAACATGTACTTACCTCAAACAAATGACTAGATCTTATTTTAAATTCTATCAACTGCTGAAGTTGATTATAACAATGCATGTTGATTTGTGAAACAAGATTATTAACTTAAAATAAATGACATAGTAATTTTTTTGATCATATTCACATGGGACTTAAATACATGCATAGTAAATGGCAAAATAAGAAGTATAATCGTCAATTTTAACTAAATGAATCAAATAAGCCCTGTATTATATGTTTATATTTATAATTGTTGAACAATTCCACAGAAAATTTGAAATTATTATCTACAGAATATTATTATTATTATTGTTGTGAAATTTAAAAAAAACTATACATATAAAGAAAATTAATTAATTAAATACAAATAAATGCGAGTAAGCATTTTTAAAATAAATTTTAATAAGGAAAATTATAAAGATTTTATTTTTTATTTTGCGAAATATTAACAAAAACTAAACTTATAATTTTTAGCTTTATTTAGAAGTCATATTTAACTTATATTCCATTTCAATATTATATTTTTGTCTCATTTTATAATAAAGTTATAGGCGTAAAAACAAAAGCAAGATGAGGTCACGAAATGTGTAGGAAAAATCTGTGCAATAATGAAAAAAGTGGTCTTGATGTCCTTACAAAAAAAATCATAACTTTTGAACCACTTGAGCTAGAAAGTTGATCTTGGTGTTTTTTTGTAATCCATTCTTTAGGCTCTATACAGCTGTAGTATTTTTATATTTTTAAAAATGTTTTGAAATTTTCATCAAAGTGCTTACTGATTAGTGAAGCAAAAGATTCGTAGTTAAGCACTATTTAATTTTTATTATGAACTTTTTTTAAATTTATGAAAAGCTCAATGAAAATCAGGCTTGAAATTGCTTGCAATCTTTTTGTTGTGCATATCAACTAATAGTTGTAATATTTTAACAATTGATGCGTGTCTAGAGACATTAGTTACAGTGCCATAGCAAAAATCTAAAAAATTTAAAAGCTTTTTGAACTTTAGGTCTACTGCTTTAAAAACTTCATAATTTCTTTTGTTTTGAAGGAATATTAGAAGAAAATGGTGAAATAGTTGAAAAATGTTTTAGCTATTCTCTTTGTTTATCAATCAATATGTTTAAAATGAAGATTTACAAATTATAAGAAATATAGCATAATTGTTTTAAATTATATGTATCTCAAAGTGAAAGAAGTGATTAGGTCTCAATTTATTTCAAACTAAGAAAGTGCTAAACAGTAGCAGATGGTGACAGTGTCTGAGGGTGTGTGTATATATATATATATACACATAGAAAAGCATAATTACATACATATTATAGTGGACAAGAGATGCATGCTTTCCTTTTTCAAATACAAAACAAAGTAGTTTTCAAAATGCTACAGTGGAGCAGCACAGTGTGCCTGCCTAAACTCCTAAATCTTGTCATATTCGTTAAAATTAACAAAGTTTGCAGAAAAACATAGCCCTATTATACCAGCAAAAGGTACTTTGATTTGTATCTGGATTTGGAAGAAATATCCATATTGGCATCAGTGGAACTGGAAGAAAATATCTTTTATTCAGAACTTTAATTATAAATAGTTGTCCTGACGATTTGGTACTTTTGGATTGTTCAAGTAAAGTGTTATATAATTTCTTTAAATAATATTGTCTGCCATTTTCCCATTACCATTTAAACAACAAAAATTCTTACTTCCATTAAAAGCACTGATTTAAGAATATTAAGATAGGTTTTGATTGTATATGTTGTAAAAACCTAAATTATTTTTCCTGTCATCAGATCAAATGATTGTAGGAAACGTGCACAGAGTAGAAGACGCAGCATCACGGCCACTAGAAGGCTCAAGGAGAATGTCATTGGTTGACTTAGGAAAACGTTTGTTAGAGGCAGCCAAGAGAGGGGAGACCGACACAGTTAGAACTCTTATGTCAAATGGAGCACCATTTACCACTGATTGGGTATGTCTGTAATGTTGTTCTTACTTATGAAATTAAAAAGGGCTTATCATATGAATTCTGTTGATTATTTTAAGAACTTTCTAGATCTTAAACTTCGTTACAATTTGTACAGTCTTTAATGAAATAGTTGAAATACCAATAATTATAATATAGATATAATCCACTACTAGAATATTTTTTAAAGCGTTTCATTTTTTACATTATTAACACATTAAGACAAAAGCAATAAAATGCAAATTAATTATGATGCTCTAAATATTAATCTCCAAATTTTCATTGGTAGTCGAGTGGTGTAAACTCATAAGTCAATCCCAAATCCCAAGCTTGTGGTCTGGAGTCAAATCCCCACCAAAGATGGGATCTGTTAACTCATCTAAGAGAAGAAACAATCAAAACACGGAAGAGTCCCGTAGCCAGATAAAATAGTACAATGTAAATTCTGAAAACTCATGCGATGCAACTGGTGTCAAGCCGTATCATCCATATATAGTGTTCCCTTGGGCTATCTAATTGTGGGGAGAGAGACAATTTGCTGTCTAGGGAACCAGCTTATAGTCCTAAAGAAGAAACCCCAGGCCTTGTGATTTAGTCCTGTGAAGTCACACCATCGTAAAATTGTGACTGACGGATGCCAGTATAAAAAATTATATATATACGGTATTGTAATTTATTAATAATTTCTTTTCTTAAAATTCTCTTCAACCTATACTCTAGCTTGGTACATCACCACTGCATTTTGCTGCACAGTATGGTCATCAGGAAACAGCAGAAGTCTTATTGCGTGCTGGTATTAGTCGAGATGCTCGTACTAAAGTGGATAGGACGCCACTTCATGTTGCCTCCCAGGAAGGTCACCTGGCAATTGTCCAGCTATTACTCCAGAGTAATGCAGATATAGATGCCAAAGATATGGTAACGATCTGTGTTTTTTTTTACTACTAAATGTATTTTTTTTTTCAAGAAAGTTGTAGATTTATAGGTGATTGATATCAGATTGATGTCGTCACCGCTAGGATTATTTGTACATTTATTTGACAATGCTTGTTCAATAGTAAATTCCTCACACTTAATTATTTCCTACTGTATTTGAATATAAATAAATATATTATCTTAAATCAGCTCAAGATGACACCTTTACATTGGTCAACTGAGAAGGGTCATGTCACTATAATTGCAACACTAATCAGAAATGGAGCAGATGTTACACTTGAAGATAAGGTAAGTGAATGTCCCTGCTATTATTCCTCCTCAGTTTGAAATAGTAAATTGAAAGCTAAATCTAGTTCTTATTACATGATGGTTCTAATATATATTCGTTTTGTTAATTAGACAGTTGTGGAGTCAAAGAGTAGAGATATACATATAGTACAGCTTAAACAATATTTTCATCTTTGAAATTATCTGAATTCATTATGAAGAAGATAACATAATAGAATTTAAGATATTCTTATTTCGTGAAATATTTTTAAAAACTGTTTCATAACATCTATCACAGTTTAATCGCACACCACTAGATATTGCTCTAGCCAATGGCAGGACAGATATTGCACAACTGTTACAAATCCATCAAGATTCCTCTGGTGTCATAGGGGACACTATTACCATCGAGGCCCCTGAAAATATGGTCACTGAAACAGTTCGCACTAGCGATGTTGACGGGCTTGTCATTGATACTGACAAATGTAGGTTTTCAATTCACTTTATTGGTATACAATGCAGACATTTAATATTATTTCAAAATGAGTTGCTCTATCAAACAAATGTTAATTATTTTGTAAGCAACACGTTATAAATATATATATATATTATACACATACATACACACCACATGTTTTGATCCTACCACCTTCTAATCTATATTCTTTTGACTCTTAAAAAGTCGTTTCTTTTCGCTCAGTGATTAAGTCAGAGCCAGATGACTCCACTGACCAGAGCAGCACCTCTGTCTTGGCCACACTGGCAGCTTTAGCTGAGGCTACAGCCCCTAACTCTGGTAGTAAGTTGCTGTTGTCTAGTTGTAAACTTAAACCTTATCATTTGTAAGCAGTAATGGCAAGTTATATTTTAATTACAATTTTTAAGTGAATTAAAACTTTAATAATTAAAGTTCAAGTACAATGAAACTTTTTTGGAAGCTGCTTGCAATATTTTTGTTGTGCATAACAAGTAATAATTTGTAATATTTTAACAATTAATGTGTGTCTAGAGACATTTTTGTTGACTGGGTGTGTTTTTATGTATTTACTAATGTGATATAAGAAAGTGTGTCATTACTTTTAATTGAAACATGATTATTTTAACTTATTGGTTTTTATGACGTGTGTATGTAGTTTTAGGATTACTTTTCAGGGGGGGGGGGGAGATACTTAAGTTACAGATTAAATATTCCTGATAACTACATTGTTCAAACTAACTTGATCATTTTACTTTGAATATTTTACTTTGTTATATAACCACCATCAATGTGAGATGTTTTTGTTATACCATGATTAACTTTGATGCATGGCATATGCTTTAAAAATAATCCCCTTAGTTCACTAATTTATTTGATATTGTAGGTTTGTTTTGATTAATGTAAAACTAAGGGAGGCAACCCTTTGCCCATTGTTGATTGATCACTTCCTCAATAATTGTGTTACTATTTCAGGTGTAGATTTTGTACTAATATTATTATTAATAATAAAATGATTAATACATACAACAATTAAAGCTACTGGTAGTATTGACATGTAGAATTTCTTGTCATGTATTTAATTCATTTAAGCAATGTAGATAAAATATTTCATGTTTTGTAAACATCACATTAAAGCTATCCAATAATGGGATAATTCAGTTATTTGCAGTGATCCAATAAAATGACCTTTGGGGTGTTCTGGTCATAGGATTTTATGGGATAATCCAGTGTAAGGATGGTATGGATTAATGCAGTTTGTGGTTATACTAAAGATATAATATAAGAGTAATCTAACTGCAAGTTGTTCCTCCTCAGACCATGCATCGACATCTGAAGCCATGAGCTGGCTGGAGAGTCAGGGCATAACAATGATCTCTAGTGATGGGAGTCTTATAACATCTGCTGTGGAGAGTGGACAGACTATTACTCTAACAGGTACACAATTAGACTAGCACTTATTACATATGTGCTTCTAATCTGTTATCTAAAATAATCAGTAAAGATAGAAAATTTAGGGGTTAGCATTTAGATTGGTAAAGTAAATTATACAAATATTATGGTTATATGTTCTGATAATGATGTAATTTTTGCGACCACATTTTCATCATTTTAACATTTCTTTGCCTACTAAAGTGGCAAATACTCTATGATAATAAAAACTATTTTGTTGAAATGATTTTTATTTCAGATTTGTTCTTAAGTAAAATGCTTTTGAAAATAGGCCTTAATTTGAATGTAAACTATAACAGAAATTTTAGATTCCAGGGCCTTATTTTCATTTTTAACTTTAATGGCCATGTCTCTGGAATTTTTTTGACAGATAATGATTGGATGAATTTCAGACATGTTTACTCTTACGATTTTGTCATACATAATAATACAATTTTGAGATGTCTTTTACGATTGTATGCAGAGACCAGTCAGAACTCTGATTTTACGAGACAAGTTTAAAAAAAAATATTCCTGTGGTTTTATTATATATTAAAAAAAAACTTTATGCTTGTTAGTAAAAGCTCCTGTCTACGACCAGACTTTGAAATACGAATGACTCTGGACCATCCACAGGTTAATATTACATCACTCTGAGAGGGGACAGGGGGCGGTGTTGACTTGGAAGCGTATGGATGTAAATGGGACTAAATATTTTTAAAGGCTATAAAATTTCATAATTATGGTGATATTGTAGCTTTGTGTTTTCACAATAAAACTCACTATATACAGCAATAGTTATAATTAGCATATTCGACTTAGTGAAAAATTTAGTAAACGTTCTTTTTTTTTTTTTTTTTTTTTTTTTTTTTTTTTTTTTTTTTTTTTTTTTTTTTATTTTTTTTTTTTTTTTTTTTTTTTTTTTTTTTTTTTTTTTTTTTTTTTACTTTTGTTGTGTGTGACATACTTTTTTGACATAAATCCTTCATTCTGTAGCTGAGCTGAATTCCTGCGATTATGAAAATGGAGTAAAACTACTGATTTAAAAAAATAATGCCTTCTCAACTGCTCCACACAGCAGCATTATATTTTGACATATTTTTATAAGATCTAGTAAGCGGCATTTGAAATCTATTGTTTGAAGTCACTAAGGACCTTTTCAATTGAAATACCCAATTTTGTTCCAGCACCTCTCCTCCCTTCTCCCAAAACAGCTTGAGGTAGTTATGAGACTACAATATGTTAACGGAAAATAAAGTCAGGCTCATAAGCTTAATGCATTAATTGCCCGCCACATTAAATATTGATCCCTTTTTTGTTACGGTACATGCCAATTTGGTATACCAGTCCCTCACTGATTGAAAGAAACCTAATTGTCCACAAGCATTACGATTCAGTGTAGTATGATGCAAAACTATATTCAGGGGAACAAGGTCTGGAATTTCAATAATTTCTGTGAGGTTTGTTTGTAAGTTCTGACAAGACCCATATTTTAAACTTAACAACAAATAACCTTTGTGGGTCTGATTCTGCAGTTCACACAAACAGTATTGTTTATTCATATTAACATTTCAAGTATTCATTTTGTAAATATATGTCAGATATACTTGGCTATATATTCAATGAAAGACTTGTATTAAGAAATACAATTGTAGACATTTTATGGTATTAAAAATAAATGTCAATTTTTTCATTGATTGAGCAGAAGCCGGTAAGATTGCCCTCAATCAATTCATCCAGCAAGAGGCGGGTATAGATGGGACAGCAGAAGAGGATGGAGAAGAGATTGAAGGAGTGACAGAAGAGGAAGGGATGGGTGAGGAGATAACGGAAGAGTCTATTGTGGAACATGGAGGAGTCCAAGTGGAAGGGGAAGAAGAGGATGGGGAGGTAAGATATACTACAAGAAAGTCATTGATTTTTTTTACTTTCACTTACTGAGAATGAAAAAGAATCTAAAATATGTGTTGTATTCACTGCCAAAAATATTATATAATATAAAGTTAGAATTAAGGATTGCTAACTCATCTATATTTATGTTACATCAAAAAACCTCACTCACTTTTAATTTATTTGACCCTTTGCCTAGAAATATGACAACTACTTTTAAGGATCCATCCATCATCTATCCCTGTGGTGCTACAGCCCATTTAGGGCTTTGGCCTGTCTCACTATTTCCTTCTACTCAGACCTAACTAATGCTTCTTTTTTTTTTCCACGCTGTAGATCTATTTTCACATCATCCATCCTTCTAAGCCTAGGTCTGCTTTTGAGCAGTTTTCCTTTTGGGTTTTGGTGATGTACCCTCTTCACTCCTCTTTCATTTAGCAATCTGTCCTGCCCAGCATAGCCTACCCTATTTTATTTCTGCTACTAGCATGGCATCCTGATATAGACTGTATAATTTCTGGTTGGTTGTATTCTCCATCCATATTCAACCTTTGTTGGTCCATATATTTTCCTGGAGAACTTTCTCTCCCTTGTGTTCATTAGGTTTTCTGCCGTTTTTAGGGTCGTGTCCAGAACCAAGTTTCACTTGCATATGTTACAACAGTTTTATAAATAGTTTTTCTTTTAGTGTTTTTACTTTTGAGTATTTACTGATTACTGAAGTATGCCCTGTTTCCAGCCGATATTCTTTCATTTATTTTTGTTATTAATTCGTTTCTTTCATTTAATAAAGATCCTAGGTATTTGAATTGATTTACTTTTTCAAAAGTTTTTTTTCCAATTTTAATGGCTTTATCTGTTCTTCTCTTATCATAGTCATGTATTTTGTTTTTTTGGTTAACTTTCAGCCCTGCTTGTAGTGATGCACCTTCTAATTCCATAAAGGCTTTTGATATGTCTTTACTACTTTTCCCAACAGTGCTATGTCATCAGCATATGCAAGATACTAAAGGGGTTGATTTTAGAGAGTGCCCATTGGTTGTGGATCTTGGGTCTCCATCAGAAAGTATTCTGCTATTGTTCCTGGGGGGTCAATATGTATGGTTCTTAAAACTCTCTCTAATGTTAGGTTAAATAGCATACAGTGAGTCTTCTTGTCTTAGACCTCATCTAATCTGAAATTACCTTGAATATTCTTCCTGAACCTTGATTTGGCTTTTTCGGTTGTTTAATGTAAAGTGTATCAGTCTTGTCAGTTTGTTGGGTATGCCAAACTCCTGCAGTTCTTTTGATGCTGTCATAGGCCATTTTATATTCCACATAGAATTGATGTACTGGGATATTATATTTGTAGCATTTCTCTAATAGGCATTTGATAGTGAAAATCTGATCAGTCGTTGATCTGTTTTGTCTGAATCCACATTGGTAGTGACCTAGTATTTCTTAGTTTTAACAAAGCTAATAAAATTTGGATCATTGTAGTTTAAGGGTATGAATTTTTCATATGATATACCGGTAAGAAATGTAGTTCTTTGATAAAAGGTTTGTATATCTTTTCACATTTTCATTTTAATAAGTCAATGTCAGCATTAAGTGCAATATTTTCAAAAAGTCGTGTTTATGTGGCTCTGCCCTATGCTTTTAGAGTGCCAAATTTTACATTGAGCTATTTATATATACTATTTGGTGAGGCTAACATCTCTAAATGAACAGAACAACTAGTTCATTAAAAAACCAATCTCTTTGCCTCTGTATGTTTCATACCTGACTTCTCCCTCTATTTTTTTTTCCCAGAATGTTATCACGATAGTAACAAGAGCTGATGATGACTCAGATGAAGAAGGGGAACATGAGGGACAAATCATAATGGAGGAGGCAGTTATACATGATGGTCAGGAGGGAGGTATGTCAGATACAGTTTAAACATCAAAGCTCATTTATTTGTATTCTGATAAATTGACCAAAAGAAACAAATCATTAGTACCTGCATTATCATTAGTTGATTAATTTTTAAAATGAGAGTGGTAATCACAGAATTATTTTTCAATAACACTGATCAGAAAAGATATAGTTTTATTTACAAAATAGGAAATCTTTATTTTCAATTGTTATGGGATGAGTGTAGGCCTAATTTTAGCTTTGTGGCCACCACCACTTGTCTCCCCTTTGTTTTCTTGTGACGTCACTGACGTGCTGTGTAACCCCTTTTACCCAGGTATCCCTTGCTTAGAAAAAGATTGTTTAAGTTCTTCTTCTTTATTTTAAGGGCCCACGATCAATGAATTGATCATTCTGGCTCCTATGTTTCAGAGAGGTTTGCGATGTTACTGTCCATGGGTTTCAATGGGATACTTCACTGGTTGCAAGGGCGACTCAGCAGTGGTGTTATGAACTGGGGGTTGGAATACAGGAGGCAATAGACACAAATGTATCGAGTGTAGCCGCCTCAACTGTTGCTTTTGGAAGCTTGTTCCAGTCCCCTATTGTCTTCGGCAGGAATGAGGAGCTTCTGTACTTCGTTCTTGTTTTTACCAGCCGGAACTGTTTGTCGTGACTTCGTCGCAGTCTGGGGGGAAGATTAACGAGTTTCTGTTTGATTCCGGAGCAGTGCACCAGTCCATTTGTTATCTTGTACAACATGGTGAGCCTGGATAGTCGTCGTCGTTCTTCCAATGTCGACCAGCCCAGTGTTTCCAGCATGCTGCCAACACTCGAGGTGCTTCTGTAGCGGTTCATGACAAAGCGTGCTGCCCGTCGCTGGACCGCCTCCAACCTGTCTATGCTTTTCTGGGTAAATGGGTCCCAGACTGTAGAAGCATACTCTAAAATAGGTCGGACAAAGGCTTTATAGGCTTTTTCTTTCACGCTTGAGTTGCCGATCTTCAGATTGCGCCTTAGGAACCCCAGGGTCTTGTTTGCCCGGTTGCACACACTGTTAATGTGCTCGTCCCAGCGGACCTCTCTTTGGATGGTAACACCCAAGTACTTAACGGAGGAAACTGGCTCAAGAATATGGCCATGCAGTTCGTAAGAGTGGTTTAGAGGGAACCTGCTTCTGGAGACTGACAGGGTTTGGCACTTGACGGGATGAAATTCCATGTCCCAGCTTATCTCCCACTCAGCTAACCGATTGAGGTCTTGTTGAAGCTGGCCCTGGTCAGAGCTGTTGACGATTGTCCTATATACCGCCGTGTCGTCTGCGAACAGTCTTGCTTGAGAGGTCAGCTTCTCGGGCAGATCGTTGATATATGCTAGGAACAAACAAGGGCCTAGCACTGAGCCCTGGGGGACCCCTGACTTAACACTGACAAAGGAGGAGGTTTTGCCATCTACCACTACTGCCTGGCATCGGTCGCTGAGGAAGCTAGAGATCCATGTTTTGGTAGTGCCTTGGATCCCATATCTATGCAGTTTGTGCAATAGCAAGCTATGGTTGACACGGTCAAACGCTTTTGAAAAGTCCAGCACAAGCACATCAGTCTGCTTGCTGTTCTCCAAGTTGGTCGTCAACTCTTCAGCAAATTCAAGGAGTTGGGTCTCGCATGATCTGTTGACTCGAAAGCCATGCTGACAGTCATTGAGTATATTATTTCTCTCCAGGTGATTCATGACCGCGCTTACGATTATGTGTTCCAATAGTTTACATACTACGCTAGTGAGGGATACAGGGCGGTAATTGGCTGGGTCGTAATGTTCTCCTTTTTTGTAGATCGGAGTGACATACGCTGTTCTCCAGTCAGTTGGAACTTTGCCTGTGAATAGCGACGATTGGAAAAGGATTGTTAATGCAGGAGCGATTTCTTCGGCCAATTCTTTTAGCACTCGTGGCTTGATGTTGTCAGGACCACATGCCTTGAAGGGGTTAATGGTTTTAAGAAGTTCCAGCACACCCTTCTCTGAGATCTTGATATCTTCCATGGTGGGATAGGCTGTGCTCATCATCTTGGTCTTCAGCAGGAACTCAACTTCTGAGTACTCTCTACCATTCCCAAAGACCGACTGGAACTGTTGATTGAGTATGTCCGCCTGTTCTTTGGGTTCAGACGTCAACTTGCCTTCCCATCTCAGGGGGGAAACTCCGATGTTTGTTGACCTTTGATGCTTGACATAGCTCCAGAACCGCTTGTTCTTGGCGGTAGTATCTTCCTCAGAGAAGATGCCGTTCAGGTAGTTCCAGTAGGATCTGCGCAGTAAGCGTTGGATGGTTCTTCGGAGCCTCAGTACTTCGGCTTTTAGTTCGACCGACCCATTCTTCTTCATACGTTAAGTTAGAATAAGTTAGAATACACTCTATTTGTTTTAAAGGATGCTATCAGGTGACACAATTTCTATATTTCTTTTCTGGGAAGTTCTATATATATATAGGCTGGCAGCTTTCCAAACCCGGAGAGATTTTTGCTATTTTTCCTTGACATCCATCCATCCCTGTGGCGCTAGAGCCCATGTAGGGCTTTGGCCTGCCTCACTACTTCATTCCACTCAGACCTAACTAATGCTTTTCTTTTCCATGCTTGGATTTTCAGTTGTTGTAGATCTTTTTCCACATCATCCATCTAAGTCTAGGTCTGCCTTTAAGCCTTTTTCCTTTCGGGTATTGTTGATGCACCCTCTTCGTTCCTCTGTCATTTGGCATTCTCTCTAAGTATTCTGCTCAGCGTAGCCTGCCCCTTTTTATTTCTGCTACTATCGTGGGATCCTGATATATACTGTACAAATCATGGTTGGTTCGTATTCTCCGTCCATATTCATCCTTTGTTGGTCCATATATTTTACTGAGAACTTTCCTCTCCCATGTGTTTAATAGGTTTTCTGCTGTTTTTTTTAGGGTCCAAGTTTCACTTGCATTTGCTGCAACTGGGCTGATTATTTATTTATGAATAGTTTTCTTTGTTTCTCTTGTAATGTTTTTACTTTTGAGTATTTTCTGACTACTGAAGTCAGATGCTCTGTTTCCTGTTAGTAATTCGTTTCTTTCATTTAATAAAGATCCTAGGTATTTGAATTGATTTACTTTTTCAAAAGTCTAGTTTCTAATTTTAATTGCTTCATCTGTTTGTTCTTCTCTTATCATTGTCATGTATTTTTTTTTTTGGTTGTTAACTTCCGTCCCTGCTTGAAGTGATGCGTCTTCTAATTCAATAAAGGATTTTGGTATGTCTTTAATACTTTTCCCTAGCAGTGCTATGTCATCAGCATATGCAAGATACTCAAGTGGTTGGTTGTAGAGTGTGCCCATTGGTTGAGTTTCCCTCAGAAAGTATCCTATCATTCCTCGAGTGTCAATGTGTATGTTTCTCTTAACTCTCTCTAATGTTAGGTTAAAAAGCATACAAGACAGTGAGTCTCCCTGTCTTAGGCCTCGTCTAATCTGAAATTCCCTTGAATATTCTCCTTGAACCTTGATTTTGCTGTTTGAATTGTTTAGTGTTACATGTATTAGTCTTGTCGGTCTTTTGGGTATGCCAAACTCCTGCAGAGTTTCATATAGACATTTTCTTTTGATGGCCATTTTATAGTCCACATAGAGTTGATGTACTGGTATATTATATTCATAGCATTTCTCTAATAGGAATCTAATGGTGAAAATCTTATCAGTCGTTGATCTGTTAGGCCTTAATCCACGTTGGTAATCACCTAGTATTTCTTCAGTGTAAGGTTGTAGTCTTTTGGCAATAAGCTTCGTCAGTATTTTGTATTTAACATTTAACAGGGAGATTCCTCTGTAGTTTGTGCACTGAAGTTTGGAGTCTTTCTTGTGTATCGGGGTTATTAATGCTGTTTCCCATTCTGTTGGAATTTTCTCTTCTTGCCAAATGTTAGTTATAAGTTTATGTATCTGAGTGTGTAGCTCTTTTCCTCCATATTTAATCAGTTCTGCTGTGATGAGGTCTTCTCCAGGGGCTTTGTGATTTTTCATATATTTAATTACCGCTTTAGTTTATTCTAGATTTGGGCATTGTATAAAAGGGTCTGGTCTTCCCTGTGGGGGTTGATAGTCTTCTTCTTGTCTAAGTCTTCTTCTTGTCTATTGTCTGCATTCAAATTACTCACCCCACCTCTCCAGTACTTTACTATTTTCCGTGATTAATTCTCCATTGTGGTTCTCACACATTTGCGGTCTGGCTTGGTATCCATTCTTTTCATCTTTTATCTTCATGTACAGTCCTCTTATATTTCCCTCTCTTGATAAATCTTCTATTTCCTTTAGTTTAGCTTTTTCCCATTCCCTCATTTTATTCCTACATATTTTTGTTGCTGTCCTTGTATGTTTGTGTTGACTTTCTGGTTTCCCTTTGTAACATGATTATTCGTGCTTTGTTTCTTTCTTCCACAGTCTCTCTGCATTCATTATCAAACCAGCCTACTCTATTGTTGGTTTGCTGAAATCCCACTACTTTTTCTGCTGATCTTTTCATGGCATTTTTTATCCTATCCCACTGTTCATTTATGTTGTTTTCCCTGTTTACTTCCTCCTGTGATGCTTCTAATTGTTCTTCTACTTCATTCTGGTACCTTTTGCATTTAGTTGGTCTTTGGTGAGCTTTTGGTAATCATATCCTTTCTCTCTTTGATTACGACCATTGTGAATTATGCTTATTCTCTGCTTATATTTCACCCTTACAAGTAGATGGTCCGAGTCTGCATCTGCTCCTCAAAGGCTTCTTACATCTAATATATCTGATCCATGTCTCCGATCTATTAGAACATGGTCAATTTGGTTGTGGGTGATTCCATCTGGTGAGTTCCAAGTAGCTTTATGTATATTTTTGTGCGGAAACTTGGTGCTGGTAACTGACATCCCTTTTCCTACAGCAAAGTCTATGAGTCGGATCCCATTGTCATTGGATTCTTCATGCAGACTTGCCTTGCCAATAGTGGCATGAACACCTTTTCTTTTCCTATTTTGGCTTTAAAGTCTCCAATCACTATTTTAATATCATGTTGTGGTGCCTCTTCGTAGATCTTTTCCAGTGTCTCATAAAAGGATTCTTTATCCTGATATCGGTTGGAGCATGTACATTTATGAATGTTATATTGAACATTTTTGTTCCTACACGCAAAGAACACAATCTTTCATTTTCTGGTTTGAAGCCTATGACTGTACTGACTGTTTATTTTTTTACGGCAAAGCCTGTTCCTAGTGTGTTGTTACCATTATAAAATATGGTGTATTCTTTTGTTTTGAGAATGTCTGAATTTTTACATCAAATTTCTTGCAATGCAGCAATAGATATTTTATATTTGATTTACAAGGTTGGTTAAGGCTTCTGCTCTAAACAGGCTTAGTATATTCCAAGTTAAAATCCAAAAATCATGTCCACATCCAAGCATAGACGTTAATTTTTTTACATGGCTGGGTTGTTAACCCTGCGCATAATGGTCTGTGGGGTTGTCCCTTACAGTTGTCTGGAAAGCTGCCTTAGTTTTTGGGTAAGGTTCCCTACCCTTTGTGGATCCCTCCATTTCCTACAAGGCAGTAGGTTCTGATTTTGGTCCGCCCCAGGTATTTTATTTCCCTGGTACCATATCTGGTGGGCTTTCCCCTATCCGCCTCTTGAGGAGGCGCTCGATGGGAGATCAATATCTCCGCACGAGATACTCAGATTTCCTTGAAATACGAAAAATTATTTAATTGCAACGTTTTACTATTTTTGTATGTGTAAATTAATATTAGTATTTTTCTATGATTTTTACCTTTTCATTTGCTGTGCTGTAAGTTGATATCGTTTTTTTGTCTCTGTTTATATGAATGTGTGTATTTAAAGAAATTTAATAGTATAATTAAATTTAATATTGTTAGTATCACTAACTTCGGTATCATTTTCTTTGTATACTGGTTTTCAGTCCATTGATACATATTGTTCATTCTACTAGCCAAATCTTAAAACAGATTAAATTTTCAAAACCATCTATTGGTACGTAACAAATAATGTGCAAATTCATAGGTTTCCTAACACAACAGCAGCTGACCTTGGGGATTCAAACATACTTTGAGCCATATGTTTAACCAGTTCATGAGAGATGTCTCCATAAAATTCTTTGCACAGCCTGATTCTTATCCTATTATTTTAATGCTGTGCAGCCCTTGAGTGCTCAAATGGTTTTGTAATTGTTCAAACACCTTAATATGTACTTATCATTTTTACCCTTTTGTTCACAAAAATTGGTTTTAAAACCATAAGAGAAAAATCTGTGATGTAGTTAACAACATTCAGTTTAAAATCCTCTTTCAGTGATCACTCATGTCACAGATGAAGATGGGAATGCCCTTATTATTGAAGAGACTAGCACCTCGTTAGTAGGATCCAATGAAATAGAAGAAGAAGAGACCCACGTAGAGCAGGTAGTGTCCCAATTTGGAATTTTTGGTTTCAAACTTTTAAAGCAAAGATGTTATTTAAAAAGTTAGCTTTAGATTATCAACTGTCAGCTTAATTAATCACCCCTTTTTAAAATAAAATTAGAAAATGTTTTAAATTTCAAGCCTTATGGCAATGTAAACAAATGATCAAAAACCAATATGAACTGATTTTAAATTTAATTATCAATACAGAACTGTGCATATCTATATTATCTGACCCTTGCTTTTTTCTTATATCTTGTGTAAAAATGGAATGTGGATTACATCAATTAATTAACAATTATTCCAATGTATTCAAAGAAAACATTTAGATATTTTGCTCCTTGAAATGTAAACTTTGTAATTGTAAAAGTTATTTTTATTAATGAGAATAGTGAAAACTTATACAAATTTAAACTGAGGAAATGTCTATTCTGATTTTCAGCTTACAGAAGAACATGTAGAGCAGGACGAAGGGGAAGGAATCACATTAGAAGAAGAGGAAGGAGAAGTTCAACTAGATGAAGAAGAACAAGAAGCTGAGTGAGTTAAGGTATAAAACAAAAAAATGTTAAGCCTGTAAATAATGTTATGCATGTTATTGATTTTGAGAGGCTGATTCAATGGATTAACTGACTGGGATATTTTCAGTTCAGAAAACCACTAGACTTGTACTATGTACAGTTATATTAATTAGTTGGTGTAAGCAAGTGATGTATATTTCTACTATTTGAAATGAGTGTAGCGTCTTTGATAATTGACCATGCATGGTGAGAGGAATGTGAAATCATATAAATGTTATTTCATTCAAGGGTAGATATTGGAAGTATTTCCCCAAAATATTGGAAGTGTTATTCAACATCAAAAGTAAATAGAGGATAAGGTAGTTATGTAATTATGTAATCCAGATCCATTTTTGCATGCTTTTTGATGTCAACTTTGAAATGTTTTTTGAGTGCTAAGTACAATGCAATATTTTCTTGCTTTAAAGAGTGTTCATGTGTTTGGTAAAAAAGAAGTCAGTAAATCACTGTTGATTTTATCTGATTAATCATTTAGATTCAATAGTTATGTTGACTATAACAAAGTGTAGGTAGTTTAATTAGTTAAACTTGATATCCCTTGACCTTACATTTTTTAAATTCTTGATGGTGTAGGGCAGGGGTCTTCAAACCTTTTAAACAACAGGCCTGATTCAGTGTCCCTCAGACACAGTTGGGGGCTGATATGGAAAAATATATGTACTTAATCTATGTTTGCTGCACATATCTCATTTGCAGTGAAAATAAATGTGAAAAAACTATAAAATATTTAAACTCAAGAAAAAATATATCCTACACAACTAATTAAAATTTCAAAGGGAAGTATAAGATGAATGTTGAGTTCAATATTTGTCACTGTTGACTACTAGGCTAGGCAGGCTGGAATAAGGACCCCTGGTGGGCCAGATGTAGCCTGCAGGCTGTAGTTTGAGGACCACTGATGTAAAGGCTTTGGTTTATTAATATTTAAGTCAAAGTTAAGTAGTGTTTAAACTTTAAAGGTAATATTTTATTGAATTTGATTGCTTTAGTAACATCTCCTTGAAGTCATCAGGTAACAAAATCTAAATGTTTATCAATTATTACGAGTGGATTTGCAATAGTAAATGTAGTTTTCCATGTGTAGTAGTAAATAATAATAATAATAATAATAAAGTTTATTTCAAAAACACGCTTCATCCCCAAAGGCCCGAAGCGCGGTACAAAGTCAACAAAAAACAAATCTATAATTTACCACATTTAAAACAAACGCAACACTACAAAAACTAATTACAAGCATACAATGTCAAAGTCTTTCTAGCCATTTCAACCATGAGCAACACAGCCAATATGCATTAACTGGAAAATAAGGTAGACAATCATCCCAGAAGGTGTTTGCGAAATAGATGTGTCTTTAAATCGGTTTTAATGGACTCCAGTGTCTGGTTGTTTCTGAGATCGACAGGAAGGGCGTTCCAAATTGTTGGACCAGCAAATGCGAAAGTGCGCTTTCCGTAAGTCTCAAGGCAAACACGTGGTCTTTGATGCAGAGCCACCACTGCAGATGCTGGGAGGGTCTTGGATACTTCAATGGACTTAAAGTTGGGATGTGGACAAATTTTTAACAATCTACTTTGAATACAAGGGGTACAAAACTGAAAAGTGGCAGGGGTCTCCAAGTAACATGCAATGTCTATGCTTAGATGTGTCATAAATGTGGTGTTGAATGTGAAGTAGTTTGGCATGTTGGAGGAAATGCCGCAGTAAAATTGAGATTAGGTAAAGGAAAAATTTAGAAAGTTTTTGATTTTTGTGAGTTTATGTTTCCAAGACATTGAATTGTTTATGACTATTACTATTACATTATCTTGAGTTATCACATTATTTTGACCAAGCTGTAAAAATATTTGATCACCTCTCATTCGGTACCGGAAATTATTATGAAACCAATTTTTGTGTTTGTTCTATTTTTCCATTTGAACACAATCTTCATACTAATTTCCAAATACACCTATCTTTTGATGTCATTAAAAGTTGGCAGACTGTGTCTGATCTCAATTAATAAAGTGCTAAGTCTGGATAAAAAAAAGTTATTGGATATCATTTGGTTGTCTGATGCGGTTGGGTGGTGGTTTATTGAATTTCATAATATTGAGGTTACTATTTGATGTTGATATAGGGATGATTTCTGATGTTGCTTACCATCATCTATCTTGGTATGTCTGTCTGTATGTTCTACCTGTGATTGCATGGGTTAATCCTATAAAAATCTGTTTCCCTTAACATTACACCAATATTACTGTCGGTACCGGTATTTGTTCTGGAGCCAATTCTTTCATAAGCAGGTACCATTTTTGGATGGGAAAAGCTGACCCCCATAAGATAATATGCCATTGCTAGAAATCTGGTACCAAAGAATATCTTCAATGATATATAGCTGTGGCTTTGACAAAATGGTGCCATCTACTTGCAGTATCTTTGTTTTATGAGTGTGAAAAAAATAATTGTTAAAATCCAAATTTGTGAAACATGACATAAAAACTTAATTGAATTTTTCAAGGTGATAATAAATCAAATAAATACTCAAAATTAAGTACAAATATGTATAATATTTAAAGTTTCTGGTAATGTATTTGATGTGTAGCCAAGATGTTTTTAAAATTAATCTTATTTCTTTGACATATAAAATCAATCCAGTCAGTTATCCATTATCAGTGATAATGATAACATGTTTTTAACCAAAATTACATTGCATTTATTCATTCTTGGAATACCTTTGTGATGTGTTCATTGTTTTCAAATAAAAGGACTACCACAAATTCCAGGCATCATTTATCATTATGTTCTCTGTACTAGGAGAGATACAACATGCAACATTTTTATGGTCATGATCATAGTGAATAAATGGAATAAAGACATTTATTGTATGCAGCATTCCACCTGATCTAAACATATTGTAAATATCACTTAATAAAAGTAGATTTGTCAAATAAAAAACATTGTTAGTATTGTTGCATTTATTTTTATAAATATTTAATTAATTGCCATTTTTGGTAATGGCATATTTTGCTTGAAACTTTTTAAATTTTTTGGTTAGGGAGGGGGTGCGCAAAGAAATAACGTTCTTAAATATTATTATTAAACAAATGAATATATTTGTTGCCCACGTTTACTACTTCTAAGCTAAGCGCTATTTTTTTATTTTATTCTGTATTTTCTGTTGTTTTGTTCGCTAACGAAGGCTTCCTGCCGACACGTTCGTCGTTTTGTTGAGTTCCTTTTTTCAGGTTTAACCCTGATTTGTTTTACTCATTTTATAACTAAATGTTTACCTTAAAACGAGATAGTTGCAATTTTTGTCAGGCAGGAATTTTCTAAACGGTATGAATACAGGTTATGTATGACCCTGGACGCCATAATGCCTTGTTGGTAGGCTGATAGCTATCCCCCCACCACCCCGAATGCACTGCCTAGAGGCGTAGCTAGGGTTAATGCTGCCCTGGGCGGGTCATGACTTCTCCACCTTAAAAATGCCGCCCCCGTCCTACGCCACTGGAACTGCCCACCCGAACATCTGAAAATCCCCCCAACCAGGAATTTGTTAAAATGTCATTTGATTTGGTAATTGTGTAAACTCTTGACAAGGTTCAAATATGTGACATCATCGTACAAACAAACAAAGAAACCACTTGACGGACATGGAAGATATATAGTGTTGATAAATATCAATTCAGTTAAGTACATCAATATTTCATATCACCTTTCTTGGTCTCGTTGAATGACTCGAATTAAATCCTAGCAGGGCATTGATTTAATTAGAGTCAGTAGCAACAATCTTGTTCCGAGGGTTCAGTCATTAAGAAGATGTAGAATCGTCACTTGACTTTTCTATCACCCTTATCTCATTCAGTTTTTAGATGCCATCTCGCAAGACTCTTTCTTTTTTCCTTTCTTTTTTTTTCAACGCCCCCTCCCCTCAACCAAACTTGGTATCGTGACCACACGCGAAATTTAGGACGATTGGCTTGCCAGGTAATTTAGCGATTGAGCCGAGAACAAGCGCTGTATTATTACGGTGATTGCCAGATAGACTGAATAGTTGTGGTGACGTTGGCCACAGATGATCTCTGAGTGGGGACTAATGAATTAATAATTAGTTAATTGAGTTCTGGCATCAGCCAGAGAAGATTGACAGAAAAAGGGAACGGTTGGGTGACTTTTACTTTTAAAAGTAACTTTACGACTTTTTCTTTTTGGAATTTACTTGAGCGCATCGGGTATTTTTTTCACTCTAACTTCTCTACATTTTATATATTCTCTCTCAATATTGTATTTTTTTTTTTTTTTTTTACAATTTTATCAAGTTTGCCTACCCATCTTTTGTTTATCCACATGGCCTGTTTTTCAGTTCTGTATATGGAACAAAAAGTGAAGGAATCTGCAACCAAATTTTTTTTTTCCTCTTTTCTTCTCTTCTTTTTTTTTTTTTTCTTTCAATATTGTTTTTTTTTTTTTTTTTTTTACAATTTTATCAAGTTTGCCTACCCATCTTTTGGTTATCCACATGGCCTGTTTTTCAGTTCTGTATATGTAACAAAAAGTGAAGGAATCTGCAACCAAACATATTAATTAAATGCACATTTATTATACAACCAGGTCATGTGAATGTCTTGGTTTAAAATTCAAATAAATTTACATTACACACATTTTCCTGTCAACTGTATAAAGTTGAAATATGGTTGCATGTTTTTTCAGGATTCCGTTTTAACATCAACATAAAATTTGTTTTGTCTGTTAGGAGTGATTGTCATGGAATGTGAGGTGTTCGGTGGAGCCAGTTTAATTGAATGTTGAGGAGTGTGAGGTGGTTTGATGGAGCCAGTTTAATTGAATGTTGTGGATTGTGAGGTGGTTTGATGGAGCCAGTTTAATTGAATGTTGTGGATTGTGAGGTTGTTTGATGGAGCCAATTTCATTGAATATCGTGGAGTGTGAGTTTTTTTGATGGGGCCAGTTTGATTAAATGTTGTGGAGTGTGAGGTGGTTTGATGGAGCCAGTTTGATTGAATGTTGTGGAGTGTTAGGTTGTTTGATGGAGCCAGTTTGATTAAATTTTATGGAGTGTGAGGTTGTTTGATGGAGCCAGTTTGATTAAATGTTGTGGAGTTTGAGGTTTTTTGATGGAGCCAGTTTGATTGAATGTTGTGGAGTGTTAGGTTGTTTGATGGAGCCAGTTTAATTGAATGTCAGTGAGTGTGAGGTTGTTTGATGGAGCCAGTTTGATTGAATATCGTGGAGTGTGAGGTGGTTTGATCGAGCCAGTTTGATTGAATGTCGTGAATTGTGAGGTGGTTTAATCGAGCCAGTTTGATTTAATGTCGTGGAGTGTGAGGTGGTTTGATGGAGCCAGTTTGATTGAATGTCGTGAATTGTGAGGTGGTTTAATCGAGCCAGTTTGATTTAATGTCGTGGAGTGTGACGTGGTTTGATGGAGCCAGTTTGATTGTCAGGGATTGTGAGGTGGTTTGATGGAGCCAGTTTGATTTAATGTAGTGGATTGTGAGGTGGTTTGATGGAGCCAGTTTGATTTAATGTAGTGGAGTGTGAGGTGGTTTGATGGAGCCAGTTTGATTTAATGTAGTGGATTGTGAGGTGGTTTGATGGAGCCAGTTTGATTTAATGTAGTGGATTGTGAGGTGGTTTGATGGAGCCAGTTTGATTTAATGTAGTGGAGTGTGAGGTGGTTTGGTGGATCCCTTTTGATTGAATTTCCGGGAGCGTGAGGTGGTTTAGTGGTGCCAGTTTGATTTAATGTAGTGGAGTGTGAGGTGGTTTAGTGGTGCCAGTTTGATTTAATGTAGTGGAGTGTGAGGTGGTTTAGTGGTGCCAGTTTGATTTAATGTAGTGGAGCGTGAGGTGGTTTAGTGGTGCCAGTTTGATTTAATGTAGTGGAGCGTGAGGTGGTTTAGTGGTGCCAGTTTGATTTAATGTAGTGGAGCGTGAGGTGGTTTAGTGGTGCCAGTTTGATTTAATGTAGTGGAGCGTGAGGTGGTTTAGTGGTGCCAGTTTGATTTAATGTAGGGGAGCGTGAGGTGGTTTAGTGGTGCCAGTTTGATTTAATGTAGTGGAGCGTGAGGTGGTTTAGTGGTGCCAGTTTGATTTAATGTAGTGGAGCGTGAGGTGGTTTAGTGGTGCCAGTTTGATTGAATTTTAGGAGCGTGAGGTGGTTTGATGAGATCAATCTGTTCCATTACTTTTTTTAATTTTCTGATTTTATATTTTTGACCATTAAAAATGATGTTAATCAGTCTTCATGATGAATACAGTACCACTGTTCGCTTTGCTTAAAGTCATTTTTAGAGAGACTTAACAAGAGAAACATCCTAACCCGCCCATCCATTGGTTCCCAATGATGCAAGAAATCTTTTATGGCCGGATAGGGTCTTTAATGCAAATTGCTACAAGCAAGCCAACACTAGGGTCAAAGGTCATCTGGACCCCGAGGTCCTCTCCGCAGTTATTGGCGAAAGTCTGCTGACCTAATTAGTCATAAATTATTTATCCGCTGATCCCAAGCTCCAGTGAGAAGGAAAACACCATAGATATTGACAGTAGTCCCTTCTGATGCTCTGTAGTATTGCCTGGAGTATTTTATAGTCGAAGCATCTGTTGCTAATTCCCGCCCTCAACATATGCCACTGTCAGCGGCTAGAGTTAATTCTATTTTTTTGGCTACTGGCTCGGGGCCTGTTCAATAATTCAGACCTAGAGAACTATGCTCGGTCTTTGTATCCCTGAACTCTTCTATTTATTCAGTCCTTACCTTGAGCTCATTAATTATGTCGAGAACCTTTATCGGTCTCGTGTGTGTATTATTCCCCCCCCCCCTCGTCCCCCGTGAGGACTTACCACTGAGGTTCCACCACTAAGGATTTTTCACTGATGAGTTATCACTGAGACATCGGAGTTCCAGTTATTTAACAAAATCGTCCCCCTTGCTTCTTCCTCTAGACTTCTTTAGATCTGTTTCCCTGGCGTAAACAGACGCGTTGCCATTAGTTTTTTTTTGTTGTAATCTTTGATCGAAATTCCTGGCAGATACCTAAAGAAACAGAAACGGTTTTATCGTCAGTTTGAAATTGTCCAGATTTTGATAATACAAGTTGAAAGTAACCATGAAGAAATCACAAACGCTCAGATTTTTCCGTTTTGTTTAGTATTGAAGGAGTTGGACAGTGTCTCACTTTTGACTGACACCCAAAAGGTCTTACTGACTATTAAAGACAAGCCAATATAAAGGCCTTACTGACTATTAAAGACAAGCCAATATAAATTATAAAGGTCTTACTGACTATTAAAGACAACCAATTATAAAGGTCTTACTGACTATTAAATATAAGCCAATATAAAGGTCTTACTGACTATTAAAGACAAGCCAATATAAATGTATTAATGACTATAAAAGACGAGCTAATATAAAGGTCTTATTTACTATTAAAGACAAGCCAATCTAAAGGTCTTACTGACTATTAAAGACAACCAATATAAAGGTCTTATTTAGTATTAAAGACGAGCCAATATAAAGATCTTACTGACTATTAAAGATAAGCCAATAGAACACAAGTCAAATTTTCACGGACTTCTCGTAAATTTACGGAAATAGTGCAATCCCGGATATTATGCTGGCCCCTTTGTTTTTTTATCTTGGGATATTTTTACTCATATTAAAAGTAACTATAGATTTGGGGGGGGGGGC